TCATTAAATAAATGAGCCAAGTATTTATGTTTTTATGATATTTTTTCCAATAAATCATTTTTAGTATACATTTTCACGCTGCCTATTATCTTGCCTATTGACACAATATGGTTTATCAGGTTTATTGAGGAGAAATCATACTTGGATGTGGAGATTCATTCAACAACTCGCACTAATTATTCACACTGACTTCACAAAACAAACATCTGACTCTTGCCACACAGGGAAGAAAATAATTGAATTTTTATATTGCCTGTCTTGATTTCAGGACATCCCATATGCTTCAACACTAGTTTAACACTTATAAAGTGCAGTAGTTGTAGAAATATAGGGCAACCAATTTGCGCACAGCAAGCTCCCATAGCTCAAGTGAGAGGTGTGTGTCATTTGTAAACAGAGGCTTGATGTTCTATTTAAGACCATGGTTGTAATTGTGAATATTCGAATGGATAGGAGTTGTGCCATTGAAGTTCCACCCATTTGTACCCACATTGAGTTTACTGAGTGAAATTCTTATATTCTGCTCCTCAGTGTCCCCTCATATCTTGTTCTAGCTCACCTTGCCCTTGTGACCCACCTCCAGTTCCCTTAATCCAATTTCCACTAAACAGCCAATCACCCAGCATCTAATACTGTAACTGATTCTCCTTTCACGTGTTGTGCTCTCCCAAATAAATCCCTTATTATTAATCCTCTCTTCAAAAACCAACCCTTGACCCCACCGTCATTTCAAATTATCATCCCAGCTCCAACCTTTCTTTCTAAGCCCTTGAATGTGCTGTCATCTCCCAAATCTTTTCCCATCTTTCCTGGACCTCCATGCTGCAATCAGGTTTCCTGTCACAGTACCCAAATAGGTGATATTAAGTCTTATTGATGTGCTGCGTTCATTTGCAAACTAGCTAAACTTTCTCTTCTTGGCCTTCTCAAGTTGCCCCAACCTTTAAACACCATTGACCACACCATCCCCCCTCCAATACCTCTCCAATGTTGTTCAGCTGGGCCCACTTGGGTGTTGCTCTCAACTTGATTCCATTCCTACTTAACAGTCAAAGAATCACTAGTGATGGCCTCTCTTCCTACTTCTGCATCAGTGCCCTGCCTTCCCCAAGGATCTAACCTTGGCCCTTCTTAGTTCTCATCAGCACAGAACGTTGTTGTTTGACAGAATGGTGTTAAGATTTTACATGTGCGCTGATGACATTCAGCTTTCCCTCTTCACTATCTGTCCCAGTTCCCCCATGGTCTTTAATTATCAGGCTCCTTTCCAACATGTAGTACTGAATGAGCAGAAATTTCCTCTAATTAAATGTTGGGAAAAGTGAAGCCAATGTTTTGGTCCCTGCTCCAAACTCCAATTTCCTGTCAACAATTAGATCCTTCTTCCTGGCAACATCCTGAGATTAAGCCAATCTTTTTTGCAACATTGTGTCACATTTGATCTCTCAAGTTGAGATTTTGACTGCACATGTGCACCATCACTAAAACCACCTACTTCCATCTCTGTCATTTCTGTGCTCTCCCTTCTAATCACATGCTGCTGAAAGCCTCCCTCATTGCTCCAGACTCAACTATTCAGATGCTTTCCAGGCTGGCGTCCTTTTTTGTAAACTTGCAGTTATCCGGAACACTGCTGCCCATGTCTTAATTTGCAGGCAATTCCCTATTCCTCTTGTGCTCATTGACCCACATTGGCTTCATTCTTGATTATAATATTCTCAGCCTTGGTGTTCAAATGCCTCCAGCTCTCATTCCTTTCTATCGCTCTAATCAACTCCAGCCCTTCAACTCTCCGAGATATCTCCATTCCTCGAATTCCGGACTTTATGAGCATTCCCAATTTTAAACACACCAACCATTGACGTCCATGCCTTCAGCTGCATCTGCCCACACCTAGAATTCCATCCCTAAATCTCAGTTCTGGGTAAAATACTCCTTACAACTTACATGCTTCACCAAACCTTTGGTCACCTGGCACAATGGGATGGATTTTTCAAGGAGTCATAACCTAACGCAGTTTGCCACCCTGTTTCTTTTTACAGAAGAGCTCCACATTTCTGACAGGAGATTCTGATCACAGTTCCTTCAGAAATGGAGAATGTACTGTCGTTCTGACAGGTGCCCCAGGGAGCACATAGTCCCTTTCTCAATGCACTCAAGTTTCCATGTTCTGTCATTTCAAAGGCAGCCACATTGACATCTGCTCTGGAAGGGGAGGGGCATAGGATAAGTGGGAGGATAGGGGCTGAGAAGTCGGGTGCCAGGCGGTTAAGGGGGTCAGTAGGGTGCCAAGTGGGTTGGCTGCCAGATTAG